ATAAAACTAAGATTCAACGTCTAGAAAAAAAGATTCCGTAAAATGAATTTTTATTAAGCAAAAGCACATTTAGGTTGACAGGATAAGCAGTATTGCGTGTAGCGAGAGATGGCGCAGCAATCGAACAAAGACAGATGCCTCGGTTAGACAAGGACAGACATACATATATTAACATAAAAAACAGGATTAGAAATGTTGACATTACCGACGTCGAGGAAGTTCGGCCTTCGTTATAGGATCCCCTTAATATAGTTTGCCTTAATATTTCGCTAAACAACTATTTCAAGCAAAAAAATGACTATCTGCCAAAAGGGTCAAATTACAAAAAAGAAAAAAGAAGATGAAACTGTTCGAAAATAAATTATAAATAAATGTGGATATTTCGTTTTTATTAGGCATTAACTTCTTTTACAATCAAGTTCGCTAGATAATTTTTAAAAAGTAAATTGCTACATATATAATATATGTATATATATATCCCAAAAGGGTTAACAAAACTTTTCAAATTATCATTCAAGTATATAGGTGGACACATGCGGATATCTTTCCTTCCATACGTTAACCGTACAATCGTCAATGTTACAATGTATGAGATGAAACTCTTGCAGTTTTGGACATTGTTCCAAAATAGTAAAACACTTATCAGGTGTAACAAGTGTCACCCAATAAAGTTGTAACTGTTTTAAGTTTTTGCACTGCGTTAATAATTTCAAATTGTGATCATTGAGAACAATACAGCGTAAAGTAACTAATTCTAGGCGTTGCCAGGAAGGAAGTAATCTGTGCAAGTAATCATCAGCGACTGGAGGTTTGAATCTGTAACAAAAATCATATATAATTTTTATAGTATTGCAATTACAAAAAGTGTGAAAATTAGAAATTTCCTCGTTATTACAGATTGCTACCATTGCTCCTATTCAGAGCAATTTAACATTTTATTTCGCTCATAAAGCATTCTCTTATAAGGAAGCTTGTATTTTGCTTGATGTATAATTATTAGTATTTATTAGTTTGGCTTCTTCATAGCAAAAAGCATTATGAACCAAAATAAAATAGGAGCAATGGTAGCGATTGATCTAAAATAATGAAGAAGCAAGTTCCTAATTTGCACACTTTTATTTAAATTTTAAGTTTAACATTTTTATGAATTGATAAATTAGCTTAGTAGCACAAATGGGGTTTTACAATCGACGCAATGTCAAATCGAAGTTGACTTTGAGAGTTCAAGCTATACGGTTTATATATGGACTCCGCATATGGACCTTTGATCGCGTATAAAGCTAGGTATAATCAACCAAATCTTAAAGAATTATATATAAATAGGGGTAAAAAAGACTGAAGAATATAATGGTATTGAGCCCAATATCTCAAAATTTGCGGAAGTTAGAGCTACCACGGACATTTCTCAAAACATTCAAAATTTATATAAAATTAAAGGACTCCGTTAACAATCATCGCCAAATTCAAAATTTAACCCGATATCACACACACGCGCGCGCGCGTACGGACATTTTGTAAAAATATGATATTTCAACGTTTTAGAATATTTAGAACACATTGGCAAAGAAAACTGAAAAAATTTTTTCACAAGAAACAAAGCTTTCTCTATGAGGAAGCACAAAGAAAATTAATGTAACTTTTTCAAGATCCTCGAAATGCAAAAGAAGCAAACACAAATTTCAATCAAGAATATAGTAATGTATTAAGAAAAAAAAATTAAAAAGCACACACTTACCGGGGAAGGTACACTTTTCGTAAATTTTTACAGTCAGCGAGATTGTCAATATCCTGCGATGTAAGAATACAGTCCTCTAAACGTATTACTTCCAAGTTAGGACACAAATTTATAAATTTATACAGCTGTGTTGCAGGTGTAGTTCTCATATAGAGTGAATTTTTAAGATTGACCTCACGCATCCGTGGATTTTTTTGCAGTATTTTGTAAAGACATTCAGCTCTTATATGTGCATTACAAAAGTCTAAATGTTCCAAACCATTTAATTTCTCGAGATACAAAAATCCTTTGTCATCTATGTCACCACAATAATTTAGATTCAATTCTAAAAAGAGAAATGTGTTGAGCATATACAATAATCCCGACGATCCCATGTTTCATATACTTTATATGTATATACATACCTTTCAAATTTACACATATCTCCGAAATTTTAAGTAGGGCAAGATTATTGATAGAATAGCCGCAGGATTCTAATCTTAAATGCGTTAAACCCTTGCCACAATTATCAAGAAAGTTTATAAAATCCTCAACTCTAAATGTGCTTTTTGTAAGATCTAACTGCTGCAATTTATTACATCTAGATGTAAAGTAACAAAATATATTGCTCATATTGCGTGGACAGTGTATATTCAAACGTTTATATAGTCGAGGGTCTTGTATCAAATTATTGAAGCGTTTATTTACACGATTCAAGCGGCATAACGTCATCAGATCCAAGTTTTTTAATATTATTAGTAGCATTTCATCCTGCAAAAATAAAATATAAAACTTTAATACACGAGATGATATTGCAATAAATATTATGAAAAATAGGCTTCTTAGAATACTTTACAGGAAGATCGGATATATTGAGACATGATAGCTCCTTGGATTTATCCGAAGAGAGTTTTATAAGTTTTGCACAATTCGAATGACGAATTACACCCAGAGATACATTTTTGTGCATCAAATTCTCTCTCAAAGTACTCTCCTTAGAAACCCTTATTCTTATGTTATTGCTGCAAATAACATTGGAACAAATTTATTTTTATTGTTAGCAGAATAAAGAGATTTTAATAATATTTTGATAATAATACCTTTGATAATAATATCGTTGATAATAATACTTTCCATCCTTACAATATTCCATTATAATGCAATATTCAGAAAAATGTCGTTGCAAATAATCTATATCCAAGTGTGCATTTTTGAAATCTGCTGTTAAATTATGAATATTCTCATGGTGTGGAAAGTACATGCAGTTAATTTCCTTTAACAGATTAGTTAAACTCTTGTCATAATTTTTAGGACGAACCAACTTTGATGTACCGATAAGCATCACAGCATCTAGCTTTGTGTAAAGAGGTATTTCATGGAAATCTGTACCTCTGTCTTTAAAAAATAATCTTAGCATTTTTGTTTTAAAGTCACGCGGGTGTGATAAGGGTGGAGAAAATAATCTTGATGTCGGGGGTACAATCTCAGACTTATCATCAGTTCCAGTTGCCAATTGTTGTTGAAGATCAATTTCAGACTTATAATCAGTTTCCCACAATTTAGACCATTTATTATTAGAATCATCTTGAGCCAAAATTTGAATTACGTCTCCAGGATTGTTTCGTGACATTTCGTATATAGAAACTCTGACTGGATATACAGCTTCATGAAACTCGATATCTTCAAAAAATATATATATATAATTATACTCTCTTCTCAACAAAAGCGTATCTTCTTTAACAATATCTTACTTGTAAATTCAGGTATCACATACCAATATAATTATTTCCGATCGGTCTTCTAAGTTGATACCATGGAGGCCATAGTATACTATCATATTTTGTCATGGATTCTTCGTATTGCCACGGAGTTATTGAAATGTCGATATCACTATTCCATCCATTCAATTTCTGTTTTGAAAAGTCAAAATGTATCAAATAGTAGAAAAAATCTTGTAATATATAAATTTAGATTACGATTACTTTGTACAGGACAATATAACGAATAATACACATACTATGAAATATGTTTCTCCATTGAAACTCGAAGAATAAAATAGGATATAATTATTTAGTTTAGAGAAGCAACCTTCTACGACCTTAACCTTGACGTATATATTATACTGAGCACTCTCCTGAGTAACCTTCCAAAAGTTTTAGCCGTCGTTTGTTATTTATTAAAACGTTATTAATAAAAAAGTTTGAGAATTAATATAATAGTGCTAATTAAGGAAAGTCAATTTGCTGATATGTGTTTATAGACAGTATACATGTGGGCGGCAGAGGGATTCAGCCTTTCCCTTTAGCAGGGATTGACTAGAGTTTCTCTAGTAATTATATATAAGAGTTACGACCCCGCGTGATAACTCCTGATTGGTTCGCCATTAATAAAGAAGAAGTTAGTGCAAGTGAGACAAAGCTTTAACATCCAAATGAAAAGTACGAGAGTAGGAAGGCTGTCTCTCTCGATCGTTCGCTATAGATCCCTAGTAATTATTAATTACGGACGGTGTCGTAATTCTTACTAGAGGAACCCTAGGGTGAACCTCGTTTCGTCCTGTAAACAGAGATAGAGTGGAGTAAGCCTCGCTTAGAAAGTTAAACCGTTATTCAATGATAGATCTTGTCTTGCCCATTGAGCAGGGGTGGAGTGGAGATGACATCGCTTTTCGTGTGAAAGTGAAAACCCGCATTGTATGTACCATGATAGACCTCTAAACGAGAACTGAACGTTTGCATGTAAAAAAGAATCGAAAGTGGTATAGTTTTATCTATCTATACGATGTTAAAGAAATCTATATTCTATTTATATCTTTTGTTAATAACTTTATAATCAATAACGACGGCTAAATCTTTGGAATGTTACTCAGAAGAGTGATCTTGGCAACATATGTCAAAGGTAAAGTCATGAAGAGAAAATCGTCTATTTAACCCTCAGGGTACGGACTATAAGAAAGTTACGTTCCGTACGGACATGGGTTAGCCTAACCCGGCGACTTTGATTGACTGTATATCGGGCTGTAATTTGTCAATTAAAACAATTTTTTTTGGATCAGAAATTTTCTCAAAAATACAATGGCGTTGATAGATTTATTACATTATTTGTTTAAACAAAGATACACACAAAGACACAAAGATACTTCCTTTGAAATGGCGCTACTTTCAAAATTCGCTCGGGTTACGCTAACCCAGTCCGTACTCTGAGGGTTAAACATTCTAGATAATTACCTGAAATGATTCTCCATAGTTTGAAAATTTGGGTGGTCCAATTATGTCAGGGGCCGTGTAAAATACACTGAGATTAGAGTGGATTTTAACGTGTCTTTTTTTCACAAATTGATAGCTGAAGTCAACGCTAATATCCTCTCCTGCTACGGATTTTCTGCCGATATAAGGATATCGACCACAACTCTCACCATATAAAGATTGGTAATTGGATGCCATATTTTCTCTCTGAAAGAAAACCAAAAATATGGAGAATTATAATCCTTGCTTTTGTAGCATATGCTAAAATGCATTATAACATCATATATTTGCAATTATAGCATGTACATAATCTAAATTTATCTTCCTTCCATTCACATTGTTAATACTGACACACTATTGTCTGCATGCGTATTACGTAATGTAAACTATAGATTTTTAGTACTGGCTGTGAATATATTGCAGCCCTTGTAGAAAAAGATTTTAATTAACAATACATTGCAAATCTTGTTCTACAGAGAATAGTGTATATCTATAATATTTATTCTTAGAAACATTAATTTTTACTCAAACTATAATTTCTTTACTTTTCTATTAACAAATTGTACTATTATTATAAAATATATAATAAATAAAAATTGTTAATAAATAATTATGTTATATATTTTAATTTTGATCTCAATATTCTGCATTGTAACATCCGCAAGCAACCGATCTGCATATGTACTTCTTTTTATGAAATAGATATATGTATTTATTTATTTTGTAACGATGCACCCTTGTCAACGCATCGTCTCCCGGCTAACACCCGCCGGATGCCGCCCGACCGTCGGGCGAGGATAGTGCGCGGTGCGCCCACCTTTTTTTAATTCGCTCAAAATTATCGTGTGCGCGAGCGTTTACGGCTCGCGGCACCGATATCCCTTCGGGGCCACGACGAACGCCGACGGGATTCGATCTCCGCCGAGTGTGAGCGCGCGTAATTTTGCACTGCTCCGACCGCCGCGCGGCTCGCACGAGGATCGGCCTCTTCACCGAATCTATCATCCCCTTTATAAAAATCGGCGCCGCGGCGAAAGAAGACACTTCGACTTGAGATCAGCAACCGATCCGCTGCTCCCAAAGAAAAGAGACCTATCCAGAACCTTCTAGGGCGACACGCAAAACAGGGTCCAGTAATCTGTGCCTCGTCCAAGAAGTCTTGGTCGTCACCTAAACTCCCGTAGCCTGACTTCCCGGGTCGATTGAGCGAGGTGAGCGCATGGCAAACGCACGTGGCGGGAAGTAAGGCGAGGAACGAACTTGAGAGACGCGTCGTGGAAAAGCTGAAGGGAAGCATCGTGAGAGCAAGGAAAGGATTGGAAGAGAGGGAGAGAAGGAGTAGGTGAAGGCAACGGGTGAATACAAAAGTAAGTAAAAGAGAGAAGGAGAAGAGAGGCAGAATATGGATTTAAGATTTTCCGAAATGTATTTTTTATCTTACTGAATGTATCTTTTATCTCATTTTCCGATACACGTTATAACATGTTTTACCACGTGGTCTGTGTTTCACACGGTAAAAGAACAACGGTATACACACGTTTACACGCACCAAAGAAAAAAAATTGAAAAATTTAAATTACTTACGTTCGCTACACTTACGCTATCTAGAATACTCGAAGATCGCACTCGACCATACGTCCGCACTCTTCGACAGGTAGGCGAGAACAGACCTCGACTATTCTCGATCTATTCAAACATTCCCGATTTCTCCTTCCAGCATACGCAGCGAGCGCCTGGGCGGTCACGCAGGTCAACGCAGATCACTCCACGCACATCTGCCATCTTCTTTCTCTTTCTATCATGTAGCTCTCTCTCTTTTTTTCGCTCAACGGAAACTTTCTTTTTTGATATAAACTGCAAACTGCAACTCGACCGATCATCACTGATGATCCAGATCCAGAGTGAGGATAGCGTATACCTGAAAATAAAAAAATAAGATTAGTAAAGGAAGCAAATTAAAACTTTGAAAATGATTGCAATACGTTATAAACAATGTAATGAGCAGGAAATTAAATGAAATTATTGTGATTTATGAATTTTAATGGAATAACGTATTGGCATTTGCATCATTGAAATAATTAGAAAGAAGCGTAATAAGGGTACGTAATTGATTTAGAGAGAAGAAATGGATCATGCGTCACAGAAATAATATTCGTTTAATATTTTATTTGATAATTATGCTTTATGCATAAACGACTGAAGAAAGATCATGCAGTTGCAATTCTCGACTTAATTAAATATTTTACATATTAGCTACAATAGTTTTCGTAATATTTTATTCGAATTCAGGAATTTTCCTGTTAGCATGTTTTAATCCAGGTCGAGTTGAGTCACACACGCACGCACATGTACGGGGGTTAGTGGAGGCAGAGGGAAAGAGAGAAGAAAGAGATTCAGGTATGAGGGTGAGGTATAATATTGTAAGAGGTTTTTGGGAACGTCCCCCGTGAAAAACGCCTTTGTAAACCTTGAGGGGACACAAATAAACTACATACAATATAATGCAATCAACTAAACTAATTTCTATCAATTTTTATACTACTTAATGTTCCGCTGCATGGGTTTGCACCCTGACATAGTCTTGTTTCGTCTAAATCTCATCTCGTCTCGTCTCGTCTCGTTTCGCGGCATTATTATATATTATTATTAAAATAATTAAAATACAAAAATAATTTCTCAAAATTTTTTAAAATAATAAAATAGTTCTTTGCAAATATGAAATATCGCAAGCACATGCTTTGTGTGCTTTTTTAAAATAAAAATTTAATTTTAACAGTATATCATTATTATCTAATTGAATATTAAAAAAAAAAACAGTTTTTCACATTTTTTTAAATAAAGAAATGTTTCTTTGC